TGCAATCAGTGCACTCCCCTCCTGTGGGTCACCAGTAGACTGGTGCACCTGCCCAGGATCAGAGCCGGTGCAAGGATTTTTGGCGCCCTAGACAAAAGAAAAATTTGCCGCCCCCCCACCATGTGACATCACAATGCCCCACCCATATGATCTGCCATATGAACTAACGCCAGTGCTGCACACAGTGTGTGTTTACATTAAAAAGCCTGCAGGGACTGGCTATAGACACCAGAACCCTTTAATGTGAGGTAAATTATAGATTAGTGTCACTAATAATATACTAGATTGCCTACTTACAACCAGATGAGGATGATGATGGGCTGCAGTTTGGCTCCACTGGTCTAGTGTAGAACAGGATCTCTGGAGGCTGTTTGCAACTATGGTCACAAAATTTTATGTTCTGGGAGAATTGGAAGCAGCTCCATTTTTTGGGGGACCCTTACAAAGCTCAAGGTCTGGGCCCCAGGGCCTGACGGTGAGTATGCCCATAAGGCCCACTCATAAGTCCACTTTTATATTCCACCCACCCATGAGTTTGCTCACAGGGAGTGGAGTGTGTAGGGGATGTGTTATGTGTTTTTGTAGAGGATCTAATATGTGTGCTTATGGTATGTAGGGTATAGGGATACCAGTTTGTGTAGGTGATGCAGTGTTTTTTTGTGTAGTGGAAGCAGTGTGTATTTGTGTATAAGGGATGTATTGTGTGTTTCTGGTTGTGTGTAAGGGATGCATTGTGTGAATCTGTGTTTGTATGTGTGACAGAACCATCTGTCTGCTTATTTTAGGTGTATTCGTCTGTTTGTATCCCGTTCGTATGAATGGCTGTTTTCTATAGCCCAGCCATTCGAATGACTCTTTTTCCCGAACAAACCTGCCGAACGGACGGCCACCCAGGAGAGAAGTGTGCTGCTGGTTAACCTATTGATCCCAATTAGAACGTTGTGGTTAACCGCAGACACTTCTCAATTAAACCGAATTCAGGGTGGTCGTCGTTCGTATGTCGACCACGAGGCAGCGGCCATTTTAAACCACGCGAAAGCCCAGCGGTGTTTGGCTCTATTTCTATGGAACTAAAAACTGACACTTTTTCTGCCGAACACCGCTGAAACAACGGAACGCCTGGCTGTCTCCACGAAAGCATACGAATACTGGCCGTTCGGGAGGTTTGGAGCATACGAAAAGACTTAACCCAGATAGCCTTCCCATGGAGTCATTCGTATACCGAAAGACTGTAAGAACTTTGACTCTATGGCGATTTAACTATGTGTGTGGGATCTGAGCGCTATTCGCTAATAATATGCACTCAGATCCAGGCTATCTGGGGATATGTGATACGAATGGGCAATGTTCAGTTATTTGAAAGTTATGCATTTTTATGTCTTTTATGATTTTATATTTAAAATGGCGACTGGCTTTGTCCTGGAGATAATTGAGTTACTTGGTAATTATCTCCAGGGCAGAGGGGAGGGAATCATAATGCACTGTGGGTAAAATCTGTGACTGTGTGTCTGGAATGTCCCCATATCTGTCTGTCATTTAAGTTTCCCATTTGGTCCCCTAGGGGAGTGTCCACCAAGTGGGAGACCTGCATAAATACGGGCAGGTAGCCCACAGTAAAGCCAGATCCTGTTTGACCCTCAATGCGGAGCTTCTGTCTCGTTATTGGGGGGATTTCTTCTTCACGTTTAGAGACTGCTGGATGGAACGAAAGCCGCTTGGTGAATATTGTTGTTCGGCGGCTAGCAGCAGTTCGTGTATTGCCGTTCGGGAGTTTGGAGCCGTTCACGGATCTCGGTCGGGAGATTGCCGCTTCCCCTACATTTGGTTCGTGCACTACAGGTTAGGCGAACGGAGTTACTGATATTGTAGCCGGGGAAGGTCTACTAAACGGCGGTTTTGCCTAAAGACACTGGAGGTGTCTTAACAGTATGCATAAGGGATGCAAGATGTGTGTCTGTATGTCTGTGCATTGAGTGTAAGAGATGCATTGTGTTTCTGTGTGTATGTAAGAAAAGCAGTGTGTGTGTTTGCATGTGTGTGTAAGGGTTTGCATTGTGTGTTTCTGTGTATGTGTGCAAAGGATGCATTGTCTTTGTGTGTAAGGGTTGCATTGTGTGTGTGTTTAATGGATGCATTGTGTGTTTCTCTGTGTGTAAGGGAAGCATGGTGTGTTTCTGTGTGTGTAGGGATGCACTGTGAGTGTGTGCGCGTAGTGTGAAAGAGCTCCATGTCTTGCCCCCTGTCCTAAAGAGCTGTCCCTTCTGTCGCTTAGAGCTCTCCCCTGCCCCTTAGTGGTCTCTCCTCTTCCCCACCCTCCCATAGCGGTCTCTTCTCACACTCACCCACCCTCCCTGTGCTCTTCTCATCCCCCCCTCCACCCTCCCTGTGTTCTCCTCACCCCCCTCCTCCCTGTGTTCTTCTTACTTCCCCCCCTTGTTCTTCTTACTCCCCCCTTGTTCTTCTTACTCCCTCCTTCTTCTTATTACTCCCCCTCTTCTTCTTCTTACTCCCCCCCTTCTTCTTCTTACTCCCCTTTTCTTCTTCTTACCCCCACTCTTCTTCTTACCCCCACTCTTCTTCTTCTTCTTACTCCACTCTTCTTCTTCTTCTCAACCCCACTCTTCTTCTTCTTACTCCCCTCTTCTTCTTCTTACCCACCTTTATCTTACTCCCCCTTCTTCTTCTTACCCCTCTTTTCTTATCTCCCTTCCTTCTTACTCCCCTTCTTCTTCTTACTCCCCCCCTCTTCTTACTCCTCCCCCCTTCTTACTCTCCCCACCTCTTTTTACTCTTCCCCTTCCCTGTAGCGTGGCCGAGCTCCTCTCCGGTCCACGGTGCCCGGCCGGAGTGATAGGAAGGTGCACACTCAGTGTGCACTTCCTGTCAGTCCGGCCGGGTACAGGAAACAGAAACTCCGGTTTCGTGTGGAGTTTCTGTTTCCTGTCTATTAGACAGAGCTAAAATGATAATGTATTAAATGTTTATTCTTATAGATAGGCACATGTGGAGTTTGTCCTTTCATTATATTTCCAGGGACACTCCTCGGGCGCTTGTCACATAAAACAATGCCTCTCCTGTGGACATCTGTAACTATTAAAGGCTTTGTGGAAAAAACAAGATCTTTAAGAAGTGTGATTTAATTCCCATTTGATGTGTCCAGATAATTAGACATCAAACAGCAATAAGCTGATTCTAAGTGAAAAGAGGCCCTGATACAAAATATAATTTAAGTGAAAATGATGGCTGAGGGCATCAAAATAGCATAAATTTGCAGCCTTTATTTTTATTGATCTGGAGTATATGGAATTATGGTACTGGTTGAACAGAATATACAATATGAATTATTCTTATTAAAGATATATACATAGTATATCCATAATATAAGTCCATTACGTTTTTAACTCATGCCCTTACCTTCTGTAATCCAAAATATGTAAACATGCTCAAATTGAAACAATTTTGACACAAGAAAAAGAAAAAAATCCTTAAAAGTGGCTATCAGATTTCTCATTGGACAACAAGGACAATCACATTTAGCTCCTAGAAAAGAAGGACATCAGGATAGAAAAGTTTGGACCAAAATAGGGCTGTCCTAATAAGCATGGATATTTAAGAAGGTATGGAACAGTCGAGGGCGTAGATTAACTTCAGATAAAAAAACAAAAACAAAAAACCACTACTCGCTTTAAAATAATGTTTAAATAACTATTTTTCTTTGCAACTGTTTTTGAAGAAGAGGCCCTGATTCTGATGTAAGATGTTGAACCATTCTCGGTTTGACTAGTTACCGTGGGAGGGTGCCATGGCACTCATGGCACCATAACCACTACAGTGGGCTGTAGTGGTTATAGCAGTTGGAGTGTTCCTTTAAGCTGTCAAAGTTAGTGTCATTTTTTTTCTACTAATGAAGGCTGATTGGAAATATATCGGGAGTAGTGAGTGCCCCTGATTCTGAACCATCGCTGAACATAAATGAGAAAAGTTGACATTTAATGTGGATAAGTGCAAGATAATGCACCTCGGACGTAAAAACCCAAGGCCAGAGTATAGGATATTTGTCCTAACCTCGACATCTAAGAAAAGGGATTTAGGGGTAATTATTTCAAATGACTTAAAGGTAGGCAGAAAATGTAATAGAGCAGCAGTAAATGCTAGCAGAATGCTTGGTTGTATAGGGAGAGATATTAGCAGTAGAAAGAGGGATGTGCTCATGCCATTGCAAAGAACACCGGTGAGACCTCACTTGGAGTATTGTACGCTGTACTGGAGACCGTATCTCCAGAAGGATATTGATACTTTAGAGAGAGTTCAGAGAAGGGCTACTAAACTGGTTCATGGATTGCAGGATAAAACTTACAAGGGAAGGTTAAAGGATTTTTGGAGGAAAGACGAGACAGGGGGATATGATAGAAACATTTAAATACATAAAGGGAATCAACACAATAAAGGAGAAGACTATATTTAAAAGAAGAAAAACTACCACAACAAGAGGACATAGTCTTTAATTAAAGGGACAAAGGTTTAAAAATAATACCAGGACCTAGAATATCGGCGTGGTGATAAGATGGGGCTGTGACTGAGGAGCTCCTGGTGGCCATATGGCTACATAACTTAGCTGAATGGTTCTAGAATACTGCCGCACACTTCTCTGCAGCCACATTTCATCCAAAAAAAGTATGAATCGAATTCACTGCAAAGCACGTATGGGCAACATGATAAGGAACAACCCTGTGACTGGAAACTGACCTGCAGAGGTCACTGCACTAATGATGAAAAACTTCCTCGATTACTATTCAGAACATTTTTATTCCTGTCATTTGGTTTTTATATAACTTTTACATTTTGGGCTTTTTTTATCTAGTACAGAACACGTGTTTTGCCAATACAAAGCAATTACATATAGAAGTGCCATTTGGAGCTCCCTTATGCCTCCTGCGCACTTTGACAACATCTAAAAAGGTAATCGAAGGGAGTCTGACATGCGTTGAGCGGTCACTGTCATGGCGGCTCGCAGGATGTTTGCCCCAGGGCTGTTAGCAGCAAGAGTTATTTTTAATCATTCATTACCAACACCTCAACAAACATTTAGATGTTCAGGGGGTACATCTAATTATTCACAACCAAAAGGAGATGGCTCGCTTTATGCCCTGATTGTTGGAATTACAGCACTAGGTGCCGGAGTCTATGTTTATATAACACTCTATAAGGACAGAGACAGATTTAAGGAAAGAATTGTGTCTGTCTCCACCAGCTTTGAAGGGAAACATGAAGATTTGAAAACGACAGGATCAAAAGAGGATGCTACACAAACTGTGAAAAAAGCAGATTCGCAAGGTGAAATAGAATAGAAACAAGTCAAGTGAAGGTACCTGCAACCAGTGCAGTGTTAACTCATGTTCCTTATATTCTGATTGGTGGAGGCACAGCCTCTTTTGCCACTGCTCGATCCATACGTGCAAGAGATCCAGGATCTAGAGTCCTGATAATATCAGAGGAGCTTGATCTTCCCTACATGCTCCCCCCTTTTTCTAAGGAACTGTGGTTTTCTGATGATCCTGATGTGTCCGAAACCTTGCGCTTAAAACAGTGAAATGGCAAGGAGAGGAGTATTTTCTTCAAGCCATCCTCCTTTTATGTGTCTCCTGAACATGGAGGGATTTCAGTTCTCACTGGAAAGAAGGTTGTACACATGGATGTACGAGAGAACAAGGTTAAACTGAAAAGTATTTAATTGCCAAAGGAGGAACTCCTAAAAACCTCCCATCCATAGAACGTGCTGGAGAGAATGTGATGCAGAGAACCACCTTATTTAGAAGGGTGTCAGATTTTCATTCCCTCAGTAACCTTTCCTCCTCAATTGACTCAATCACCTTTATTGGGGGCGGGTTTTAGGAAGTGAGTTGGCTTGCGCTTTGGCAAGGAAAGGGAGGCAAACTGGTCTTGAAGTTATCCAGATGTTCCCTGAGAGTGGTAACATGGGAAAAGTTCTTTCAGAATATCTTAGCCACTGGACCACCGAAAAGGTGCGAGGAGAAGGTATAAATGTCATGTCTGATACTGTTGTTAAACTTGTTAGTAATTAGAATGGCAAATTTAACATTTCTCTAAAGGATGGAAGACAGGTGTAGACAGATCACATAGTAGCCGCAGTTGGTTTAGAACCCAACACAGAACTGGCAAAATCTGCCGGCTTAGAACTCAATGGTGACTTCGGGGGATACAGGGTTAATGCGGAACTCCAGGCTCGCAACAATGTGTGGGTGGCAGGAGATGCAGCTTGTTTCTATGATATTAAACTTGGCCACAGGCGAGTTGAGCACCATGATCATGCGGTTGTAAGTGGAAGACTTGCTGGGGAGAATATGACCAGAGCTGCTAACCCTTATTGGCATCAATCTATGTTCTGGAGTGATCTTGGTCCTGATGTTGGCTATGAAGCCCTTGGTATTGTTGACAGTTCACTGCCAACTGTTGGTGTGTTTACCCGGGCCACAGAGAAGGATACACCAAAAAGTGCAGCTGAATTAAGTGGCACAGGCATCCGTTCTGAGAGTGATACCAGGGAAATAATTCAGACAGAAAATACTGCCTCTCCTGTCTTACCTCAATCATTTCCTCCTTCCACGCAGCAGAGGGAAACCTATGGAAAAGGAGTGGTGTTTTACATGTGTTACAACATAGTAGTGGGGATTTTGCTGTGGAATATCTTTAATCGAATACCTATTGCACGCAAAATAATTAAGGATGGTGAGGAGCATTCTGTCCTCTGTAATGACATGAAGGGATGCTGCCCTGGAGCAGCACTGTCACTTTAAATGTGGGAACCACTATAGCAAAGAAATAAAGTCCAAGACACGAATGAATAGGTTAAATCAAGAAATATATATATATTTACAGGGAACCAAAGGAGAAAACAAAACAATATATATATATATATATATATACACACACACACACACACACACAGACAAGGCCACAAAATATATACAGTAAATCAAAATAAGCACGAATCGTGCAGGCAACAAATACTGTAACAGTCCTTTGGTATAAGGGCAGGATTGTGCAGCTACCACGAGTATCAGGTAGGGCACAGATCCAGAGTCACAAGACTAATGTAGTGACATCAAGAAGCAAGGTCAGAAGTCGAATAAATGAGCAAAGCTGCAGGGACAGGATCACTGGTAGCAAAGCAGAGACCACGGAACAAGAGCACGGGATCGGAGGACACAGCAACGAAGGACCAGGAGGACACAGTAACGCAGGATGAGGAGGACACAGGATGAAGACCAGGAGAACGCAGGAGCAAAGACCAGGAGGCGCAGGACACAGGACCAAGTCACAGTATGCAGGAGCCAGCAACACAGGAAGCCAGGGAAACAGGAAACAAAAGGCAATGATCTGGCAAGGAGTGAGGGGAGAACCCAAACTAAATAGGTGCTAAACAAGGACCAGGTGAAGTGCTTAATGAAAAGAAATCAGGAACAGTGCCAAACAGAAACAGTGGTGAGTGTGAGTACTGCACGAGGGCAAATCAACTTAGGAGGGTCGTGACAGTCCTCAATGAGGTGACTGAGCTTTTCAATTTCCACGAAGAGTAAATCACTAAGGAAGAAAAAACATTTTTTTCTCCAGTCACTCAAGAAGAGTTTAGCAATGACCACTATTCCTATTCAGCACTTAAATTCAGAGCTCCTACGAAACTGGATAAAAATGCATACATTCATAGAATCTGCCATATCCCAAATTTACATAATTGGTAAAAGATTATTAAAAGTGATACTAGTGATGTCCCAAACGGTTCACCGATCGGTTCGCGAACGGTTCGCCACGAACGGTTCACCGCGGACTCATCATTGAGTAAACTTTGACCCTGTACCTCACAGTTAGCAGACACATTCCAGCCAATCAGCAGCAGACCCTCCCTCCCAGACCCTCCCACCTACTGGACAGCATCCATTTTACATTCATTGTGAAGCTGCATTCTTAGTGAGCTGTCCAGGAGGGGGAAGGGTCTGGGAGGGAGGGTCTGCTGCTGATTGGCTGGAATGTGTCTGCTGACTGTGAGGTCCAGGGTCAAAGTTTACTCAATGATGAGTCCGTGGCGAACCGTTCGCAAACCGTTCGCGAACCGTTCGGGACATCACTAGTGATAACTGTAATATTTGATAATTCTGTCCGTAACTCAAAAACAAAAATAACTAAGCATTTTTTACATCTATTGTTTATTTGCACATCTTTGCTATGGCCCTGGACTTGTTGGGAAGCTGTTTGTATATGTGTTCTTCAGAAATAAACCTGATCATGGGGAAAAAAAATGTTTAGAAAATATTGGCCTTCTTAGTTGAATTTGGGAATATATGCTTATTTGCACAAATTAAGATCCACAAACTATGTTTTCTGAAAAAAAATATTAAAAAAAAAATAATATCAGGAAGTATTACATTACTAAGAGGGTAGTGGACGCATGGAAAGTCTTCCAGCTGAAGTGGTAGAGGTTAACACAGTGAAGGAGTTTAAGCATGCGTTGGATAGGCATATTGCTATCCTAACTATAAGATAAGTCCAGGGACTAATGAAAGTATTTAGAAAATTGGGCAGACTAGATGGACCGAATGGTTCTTATCTGCCGTCACATTCTATGCTTCTTTTTTGTAATGAGTCAGTTACATTAATTTTCTCTAATGCTGCTCCAACAATTTATCAGATTTATCAGAGCTTTATAGATTTCATTTTAGCATTCACTTAGCAGAAATCAGACTCTGTCAAGACCTCTAAAACAATGGCGATTAAATTACAGAGTCATTAGCATTACAGTCTTATCATTGATTAAATGCCTAAGCAAGGATATGAATTATAATCATCCGTCAGGACTTCCTTGATGTTTTTATTCAAAAGTCCAACTAAAAGATGGGTAGAGGACCAGTCAAGATATCGACTCCTCAGCTGGTCTGTGATTGTACTCCTTATGGTGTCCAAAAGACTGAGCCACTAATTTCATAATATGGACAAAATGACCAAGCAACGACGTGAAGTTGGACAGAAATCGTCTATGCACTTTTCTCATTTGGTGTTCATCCAATCAGGGCTGGTTTAAGGATTTCTGCTGCCCTAGGCAAAGATCCATTTTGCCGCCACCTCATGAATGCAACTACAATCTCACAGAAGTTTATTCACTAAACTCTGAATTGCAGTGAGTTGAAAACTAAATTGCAAAGTTTAAAGGGACACTATGGTCACCAGAACAACTACAGCTTATTGAATTTGTTCTGGTGAGTAGAATCATTACCTTCAGGCTTTTTGCTGTAAACACTGTCTTTTCAGAGAAAATGCAGTTTTTACATTACAGCCTAGTGATAACTTCATTGGCCACTCCTCAGATGGCTGTTAGGGATCCTTCCTGGGTTATGGCTGCCTAAAATGCATCCAAACATTCAGGATCTCCTCCCTCTGCATGCAGACACTGAACTTTCCTCATAGAGATTTATTGATTCAATTCATCTCTATGAGGAGATGCTGATTGGCCAGGGCTGTGTTTGAATCATGCTGGCTCTGCCTCTGATCTGCCTCCTTGTCAGTCTCAGCCAATCCTATGGGGAAGCATTGTGATTGGATCAGGCCACCACTTCTGATGATGTCAGCAGACAGCTTGTTTTTCTGAGGCAAACAGCATGCAGATCTACAGCTTCAGGCGTGAATACGGTAAGATTTTGCTATGGAGGTATGAGAGGCCCAGGGGGACTGGATGGTGGTTTTAATACTATAGGGTCAGGAATACATGTTTGTGTTCCTGACCCTATAATGATCCTTTAAGCAAAACCAGCTGAGCTGTGACTGTAGCCAAATTTGAGAATTCTTCTAGATCAGCTATTTTGGCCTAAATGTTGCTATATGGTTTCCAGTTAGGTCTGTCTAATACATGCATCCACACACACAAACTGCCCAATGCAAACATCCATAAATACACAATGCCAAATACCTTCATCCATACATAAATACTGCCTTATACCTACATCCCTGCACACATATTAAAACAGACAAATTCAAGTAACAATGACGCTAATAAACAAACCAAAGAAACATTCAAATGAAGCTGCACCTCACACAGTGTATAAACCCAAAATGACACTCAGTACAATATTGAAAACAAATAAGGTGCGCTGTATCGTTAAGACGTGTACTTGGTAAAATATATAAAATCTTTGTATAAATGTTATTTGCTAAAGTGCATATATCTTCAAGTGGAAAAATAAATGTGCACCAGTGCAATAAATTGATCACAATAAAGTTCTGCAATTATTGTACAAAAGAACAGTGTAAAGTGCCACACTTTACTTACACACAATATACATTGGTATGAGTTGAGTACACATAGAAGGTACACATGTAAGAAAAAAAGGAAAAAAACAACAACCTCATAGGGCAATATTGCACAGTAAATTTGAAAAGGTATAAAAGCTTCAGAAGGGAAGTTGCTGCAGTTTTTAAAGGCCCACTATAGTGCCAGGAAAACAAACTCGCTTTCCTGGCTCTCTAGGGTCTTTGGGTCCTCCCCACCCTCATGGCCCGAATGGTTCTTATCTGCCGTCACATTCTATGTGTCTATGTTTATGGTAAACATAAAAACGTGTTGTCAAATGGTAGAATAAATGAAGGGGAATATCTTCCAAGCTTCAGTAGAAGACATTAGGGTTTCCTCAGTAAGATGAAAATAAAGTTTACTTTTTTTTTAATGATTCAGTGAGTGAGAGCAATCCTCTGACTGCCACGTTCCAAGGACGGAGCTTAGAATGTAAGGTCGTAAGAGGAGGATTCTAAGTAACTTCTGTTCCTGGTAACTCTAATATGTCTTGTTGAAATATTTGCTATTGTATAGTGCTGTGTAATTTGTTGGCGCTTTATAAATAATAATAATAATAAAAGTAACGATAACAATGCAGGATGAATCAGTGTGGATTTTACATTTAGCTTTGTTTTTCGCTGCTCACAAATACATATTTGTTAGATATAGGAATAAATACATTTAACATTAAAAATCCTGGGAAGTGACAGTTTCTATTTAACCATAATAAAGAGCCACCTTCAGAATTATTGGCCCAAAAGATTCATAATGTAAAATGTAAATTGAATTTTCTGCATTTTTAACATACAGAACCGGCTCTATTGAAACTTAATTAATTATGATATGAATAAGGAAATAGAGCAGATGAATTACTAGCACACAGTATTGAAAAGAAGCAAATACAAACTGAAATGGCTTTTATTAAAAGAAGAGGGTCACCTCAGTAGTAATCCAACTGATATTGTAAACAGGTTTGCATAGTTTTATGAAGCTTTATATAATTTTGTACAAGATCAGACTACTTTTGAACCAACATTTGAAGAGATGGAAATATACTTGTTATAACGATATCAGAAGCTCTGCAAACAAGCCTGTGTGACCCAATCCCAGAAGATGAAGTCCAACTAGTCATTGGATATTTAAACTGCAATAAAGCTCTGCACCCAGGTTACTTTTCTAGCAATAATAATATTACTCTAATATGTTATTGCCCTGTCCAACAACATTTTTTTAGTAAGTTCAAGTGTATTAGTAAAATTCCAGAAGAGATGCTTGGAGATATTATTAATCCCTTCGTTGAATCAGGTAAGTCTTTGCAGACTGCACAAATTCTAGACACATTTCTTGATTTAATCCAGATATAAAATTATATGCTAGCATTTTAGTGAACAGATTGAATGCTATACTACCACAAATTATTGAATCAAG